TGTTTCCCATCTTTACACACACACACACACACACACACACACACACACACACACACACACACACACACACACCCTGATGTCTTCAGTTTGTTTCTCCTGCGGACAGCACACAGTAACCGACCCAATTAAGGGGAATGAGGAACACCTGTGCTGGTCAGCAGGGCTCCACAGGCAAAGTGCTCATTTCTGTTCATGAAGTTTGTTGATAAGTTGTGTAAGGTGTGTTGAGTTTAAGAGACTTGTTCACACACACACACACACACACACACACACACACACACACACACACACTTACATGCTGTTCCATGGTGTGCAGTATGGTAAGGTGACTGCCCATGTCTGCACAGCTGTCTCTGCTCTTCAGCCAGTCCAGCTTGTCTGTGCTGAAGTAGTAACACTGATCTCCGACATGCAGCCATCCTTCAGGACACTGCTTGCACGGCTTAACTGTTAATCAGAGTGGGCGAGATAAAAGGATGAGGGGAACAGTAAATCAAAGAAAAAGCAGGAAATAAAGATCGTGTACAGGTTTGATCTACATCCTGCCACCTGTCTTTGAACAGCTCTGCCCCAGGGCGGTGTAGTCCTCACACAGCTGGATGAAACGTCTCTGCACCGAGGTTAGTTTCAAACCCAGAGTTGAGGAGTCCTGGGGTGCACCTGGCACCGAGCTGCCAGTCACTGAGAACATAGATAGATAGATAGATAGATAGATAGATAGATAGATAGATAGATAGATAGATAGATAGATAGATAGATAGATAGATAGATAGATAGATAGATAGATAAGGCCGTCCATCCAGTAATTGATAAAACATCAAAGCTAAAAATGTGAACCTGATGTGCTAGAGAAAAAGTCAGGGGATCACCAAAGTGCTTAGGATTGATCCTCTGGGAAACATGAGTATTATTTGATAGATGTTGAGATATTTAGGTATGACCAAAAGTGGTCGACCAACATTTCCACCCATAAAATCGGAACTAAAAACAAAATACTGTTGTATTTTCTCACACACCACTAATTTCTCCCTCTTCAAACATACGATTCTTCTCTGTACAGTCTGTGAATCTCTGTAAGAGTTTATTGCTGCTGTTGCTGGCATAATTGAGTTTATATGAGCTCCCTTGCGGCTGTAAAGAATTATCATTTACAACATGAACTTTCTCTGGTTTCATTGCCAGATATTTTTCCACATTTGTGTTTCCTCTGTTTATGTTGCCACAAGCCCTTTGCCTATTAAAATATTTCGTAATGCTATAATGAAAGAAATAATGCTCTCTGAGAAGAGCAATTGATGTAATATAACTCATGAATAAAGATATATGTGTCTTTCACTTAAAGATTACGGTATTAGTCTATACTATAGGAGCATTAGTATTGTCACTGGTCAGGTTCAGAGGAAATGAAAGTTAGGCCTCTTCCCGTCTGACATGTTTTGCTGTGGTTAGTGAAGATCAGAATTGACTTGTATTACAAAAAATGTGTTCTTCTTCATAAACTGTGACATATTATAATTTCCTGGCAAACCTGCTGATGCAAACACAGGTGCAGGTGCTGTAGTGAGATGAAACACGTAGATAAACAAAAAACCCACATGAAAATTGTGCTAATTCATATTTTATGATTTAATTTTTACAATGGGTTTCATTTTTCAGATGGTAGATGTGGGTTACTGTGCAGTTAATGTGCCATTAAATAGCAAATAAAGAGCAGTCAACCTAAATAAAGTGAAAACATTTATATTACCAGCTGACTTGACCCACAATAGCAATGCCTACAGGACTATTGGCTTATTTATCATGATATAGTACCTAATGTGATCGTCTATGCCATATTCATAAAGTAGAATTTAATCTATTTTTTCTGTATTGAGAGTCTTACAATGGGTCACGCATCCAGTTGTCATAGAAAGTGTTACATGTTTCTTTTTATTTCCTTCTTGTTGCAAGTCATCACTTTCATATACTGAAATTGTGCTCAATAGCTTCTGTCTCTGTATGTATGAGTGTGTGTGTGTGTGTGTGTGTGTGTGTGTGTGTCGTGGTGGTAATAGATCAAGCACGTACAGCCCCAGTGGTGTTTGTTTTAAATGAGAGTGTCCTCACAAGCACATTATCAGGCTGAGCTGCCAGAGACTGTTGGCCCTGCAGGAGAAATATTTCACAATTATGGACTTTTGTGCTTTTTCTATTACATGACCCTCACTGGACTGGAGAGAGCGCTTTATCTTTTTTATTGCCAATTATAGGTGTCCAAAAGCACACTGAGCTGAAATAAAGAGAGAATAATCAGCACGAGTGAGGAATAGAGTGAGACAGAGAGACAGACGGGCAGATATACATACTCTGACTGGAGGGCAGGGAACACAGAAGGTTGCAAGACAGTGTTTACACTTACACAGGACAGTGAGTACGATGTTGGTGCAGATGGAGGCCAAAAAGCCAATAACCATCAGGAGAGCCGTCTGACTCCTCAAACACTCAATGCCCCGCTTCAGTCCCCGGGAGTCTGATTAGACACAAAACAGTCCTCAGCATGGTTGCCGTCAATTCACCATTTTTAATCCTCTGGTGTAGTATAAAGTGCAGACTTTGAGCAAAAGGATATTGTAGAGCGAAAACATTTGACCAGAATTTAGCTTCATAATATTTACTAATCCCAAAAGATAATACTTGCACGTCTGCTGAAAGTTAGGTCAAGTGGATACTCGGTTTATTGGTGTCTCTTTATGCACACAGGCACAAAAATACATAATGAAGACAGATTCAGTAGCAGTGGCAGAGAATTCAGATCCTTAGCTAAAAGTAACAATGCCAATACAAGTAAAAGTCCTGCATTCAAAACTTAATCTTAATCTTAATTTAATGTACAGAAATATATGATATATTATATTACAGTTTCATTTTTACTGATGCATAAACGTGTATCTTGTTGATTCAGGAAGAGCTCATTACGACTATTTCATATAGTTCTGTGAGTTTAATTTATAATAAATACGTCATATTTAATTTTTTAGGATTTTAAAGTGGAAATCATACTTTTGTTGCAGATTATATACGCATAATTGTTCCAAGCACACTATTTGTATATGTCTTAATGCTTTTCTAGAGGGGATCTTTCAGTACAGTTAAGTACTAAATAGTAACTAAAAAGTTATCTCACAATACTAACAATCCAAGGCGCCTAAGTCTACTCTTCTTAAAAGCAGCAATTCCTTATTTGCCACACTAAGGCTGGATTTAATTTTCAGGTTTGGAATCCTGGACGAGCCTCCATTTGTTCTCTCTGAGCCCATCAGTTACAAATGGGGGCCTGTCCGAAGATCCAAACCTCATTTTATTCCACTTTGGGTCTGACCACACGTGTGAATAAACCAATCTTAGTTGACTCGTGTCCTAATTCATTTCACCTTCATCAGACTAAAATAATCTCTCTTTTCAAATAAAACCTTTCCACTCTTAAATGTTGTTAAGTAATGGTCACATTACAAAGAAGAAAACTAGGTCACTTGAGTAACTATAGGACTACTTACTTTACATGTAGATATGTTCCACAATTAAAATGATCAATATCTGTCACATTTATGCTAAAAATACCGTTACTGTGTTCGATAATAGGCCTGTTCCCTCCAGGTGTGGGTTGGTCTGTGAGCTCCTGCAGGCTGGTGTAGTTTTCCTCCATGGCTGTGATGCCCTTGTTAGCACTCTTTCTCACTCTTTCTCCCTTCGCACTGTACTGTACCTCCTCTGGTCCCTAAAGGCTTCGGTATCTCCTCTCCCAAGCAGCAATATTTCTCCTTGAAATTAAATTTGTCCCTGCTGGTTGATTTATTGAGGCACGTCCCCCTGCCTACAACACTGCTGCAGTGCTGTAACAAATGTGCTCAGAGAAGCACTGTTCCCTTAAACTATCCTGTACCTACAACTAAAGAATTTCAGCATTTTGTTAAGTGTTTTCCTAAAAGAGAGGAGACTCTTAATCCAAACTGGGAGGTTCTTTCCTCATTTTTTTGGCTGTGTGTAGTGTTTTTCTGTTTCACTGTTAACTTGTCCTGTATTTCATAATCCTGGTGATTTTGTTTTTCCATTTGGAGAGAAGGACATATTCTGGACATGACAGATGTGTGATAGATGACAAAGCAAATTATGAGGGCGTGTGAGTCAGAACGGGAGAAAAGAGTTTTTAGAGATAGTTGGGGGGAAAAAACAGCAAGTACCTTCAACTTCCTGACACTAATTAAAAAAACTGAAATTGGAACTGCGTCAAGGTTGCAACGGGAAAGCAGCTGGGAGCTGTGTGTGTGCTGTGTGTGTTGTTAAGAAAGAAGGGCCAAGCTCTGAATCAGAAAGTACACAGATCCAGACGATAAGAATTGTGCTGATGTGCAACCACAAACTTTAGCTCAGCAGTGAAATGGACACAGAGATAAACACTAAATACTCTTCCTCTGCTTTAATTAGTTTGGTTTGAAAAACAAAACCTCATGAAGTAGAGGAGCTGACAATGGCTGTAAGAATAACGTGCCAAGAATAAAATAATAAATGGGACATATACCAAAAAAATCTTTTGACAGTCTGTTGGAGCAACACAGTGGGCATCTGGTGTGTGTGAGTATGTGTGGTGTAGAGGTGATATTGTTGCAGCTGCTCTACTAACGAAGAGAATACAAATAACTCTCATCACACACACACACACACACACACACACACACACACACACACACACACACACACGCATGCACAGTGCAAATGCTGAGTCATACTTCTTAGGCCTCCATCTTTGCCAAATTCTCTGAAGAGAGGGACTGACCTTTGTACATGTAACGGTAAATAATGCCCATCCTGCATGCCAGAGCTCCAGCATCAGATTCTTGTTTATCTAAACCAATATGGCAAGCCATCAATAGTTTGGCTACAAGATATTGCACCATCTGAGTTTACATGCTTTGATGATCATGAACACTCCAATCTGTCTGGTGGATTTGTGCAATCTGTACTTTCCGTCCCCTTCTCTTTAGTACACAAACTGCTCTATAAAACACCCAGAGAGCAGAAAGAAGAAGCCAAAGTTTGTGATATTCTACCAGCTGACAAGACACAATGAACCTCCTCAAAAAGACAGGTAAGAGCGCCTTTATGCAGTCTGCACAAGTGATGTCTGTGTATGTGGGTCTGTTTGCATGTACCTTAATACTGTGTCTGCTATCTGTCTCTTCAGGCATCAGAGGCCACGCCATCCTCTGTGTTTTCATCGGCTTGTTGGTTTCTGTAGCCTCCTCTCAGGCTGCAGACAAACTAGAGGAAGAGGTGCACTTTCTAAAGCTGAGAATGGACCTTTGGAAGAATAACTACAGACAGCTGTGCAAGCATTTCTCAAACCTTGCACTCAACTGCTCAGCTCCAGGTACTTTTCTCATCCAACAGATGGACGATAGTTTGTCATTTATGCATTATGTAATATAATTACCATATATATATTGTCCAGTTGTAACTTTTCCTGTTTGTTTAAGTAACACATGCACTCTCCCATAGTGATCAACTGCACTGAGTGTCCTGACAAGTGGCTTCATGTAGGGGACCAATGCTTCTTCCTCAGCACCGACAGGCAGAACTGGAGTGATAGTATAAATAAGTGTAAAGAGATAGGCGGCCATCTTGCCATCTTGACCACCATAGAACAGCATGTAAGTGTTTCTGTGTGTGATTGATGATTTTTCTGTATTTGAATATATATATATATATATATATATATATAATTAACAAATCAATTTGGATGCAATACCTTTTTAGGAAGCTGTGGAAAAAGAAGGCAGAAGGATCGGAGGGTTATACACAAACTACTGGATCGGACTGAGTGACATTGAGAGTGAAGGAGAATGGAAATGGGTGGACAAGTCAGACCTTAAAACTCCGTATGTATGAAGCGACTAAAATAAAAACACTCTTCTCATAATAATAATAGTAATAATAATAATAATAATAATAGTAATAATAATAACAAAGACAATATACTGTGAGTACTCGGAAAAAGGAAGATGACTGGTTGCTCTAAATACTCAACATGTTCTTGGAAACAGGGAAAAGGAAGTGTACAAACAAAAAGGCAATCCAGGCACAAAAAATAGCAACATGGAAGGAATATTAAAAACCCTTTATTGTATTGGTCAATCCATAAAAAATCCAACTTGTTTTGATCATTGCAGGTCTTTGTCAGCACTATAAATGCTTTCCAGACATGAACCAAAAAAAAGCACACACACACACACACTAGCATGGCTGATGTCCATGAATTAAATTCTAGCACCCTAATAAAGATCCGATGACTAGAAATACTGCAGACCTCAGTTTGAAGGATAAACATACTTACAATGGAGACCTTGGTGTTAAAGACGTGTCATAGCTGTAACGTTGCCCTCGTCTTTTGTTTAGGTCTCACAGCATACAGCGTCACACCTACACAAGATTTAATTTGTGCATGTGCTCATGTTAGAGGATAGAATTACAATGGGTTACTATTTTGGAAACCTCTGAAATCCAGCCAGACGTGAGGATCAAAATTGGCAAATACAACTTAGACAGGTTCACTGAGTTTGCCAAGACCTTATAGAGTATGCAAGTCGACCTTGTTAAGCAGATGTGGTGTAGAGCAGAAACGTCTGCTGAACTTATTCTTGTCAATGTGTTTTTACACATACAGACCTTGAATATTTCACTGGCCACTGTAAACACTGCTGCTGCTTATCAGTAATACTCAGAGCAAGACGAAGTCATGCTAACAGCTCTGTGATGCTGTACAGCAGTGCTTTTAGCTGAAAACTAAAAACATGATAACATGGTGATGTTTAGCAGATATATACTGTTTATCATTAGTCACCATCTTACTTTTGCATATTAGCATGCTAACTATTTGCTAATTGACACTAAATACAAATTACGTCTAATTCTGATGGGAATGTCATAAGATTTCTTCAGGTATTTACACATAAACCAAAGTACTGAACATTGAAATTGTAATTTTGACCTGATGATGGCACTAAATGAAAAGTGAAGAGATCCATACTACTAGCATGCAGATAAATTTGGTGCCTAGAAAAATAAGGTCTGTTCCTAAATAATGTAATATAATTCCTGATTCAACACTACATAGTTTGCAAATATTATGTTCCTTTTTTTTTTAAAAAGTGCCATGGCTTTGCATCAGTCATTACTCAGCTCATGCCCCCTAAAGAGATAACTATTAAAATTGTTTTTTATTTTATTAGTTAGGTGCTTAAATGCTGTTTCACTCAGATATTAGGTTAAGAATCTAACTTCACTGAGACAGTCACAAACACTGATTTCTATCTGTCTGCCCACCGTGTAGATTCTGGAACGCGCTGAACTCAGAGCCAGACAACAACCTGTCCGGTGGGGCAGATGGAGAGGACTGCGCTGTGGTAGACAGCTACAATCAGAACTGGTTTGATGTTCCCTGTTCCTTCTCCTATCCCCGGATCTGTCAGAAGGATGCCACCGAGCTCTTGTGAACCCCTCCACACCACCGCAGGACCACCACTCAATTATGAAAGTTATTGATTCTTTATTGAAAAATGTTAGTGGTCAATCTACAAATAAACAATTTCTAGACAAAAGAGTTGTTTTTTTTTAAGTAATACAGTATTTTGCGCATTCTTAAAATTATATATTTGTAACTATTCATTAAAGCAAGTAACCAAGTCTATCAAGGCATCATATCATAGAACAGCATAAAAATACATAACATAGCATGACAAAAAGATCTGAGAAAAATGAATGAAAGAGAGTATAACAATTATTAACAGTAATAATCATAAACAACAATAATTAAAATGTGAAGTCTGGATGAAATCGATTACATTTTACAAATATATAAACAATCCAAAGATATGTACAACTGTAAAATACATTTTTGTGAAAATTTCTGCATTGATGGAACTTTGTGTTAAACTTTCAGAGCCTCATCTAACACACCAAGCAGAGGATCACAGTGTAGTAGACATGACAGAAAACTCCATCTTATCCGGACAGAAATTCAATTGGTTGGGATGTCCTCTTCAAAATGTCTTTCTGGGAGTTATTATGATCTGTAGAATCCTTTTGGCTGGGGGCTGAAACAGAAAGTCACAGGTTTCTGTTTGAGTTGTGAAAAGAGACACAGAGCTACAAAAAGCAAAATGAATATGTTTATTGTATCTTCAAAAAACACCTCATGGCTAAAAGTTGAATTCAGATTTGAGTGCTGATGAGTGTGAATGTGTGTTTGGAGCCATTTCATCAGTCCAGGAAATGGGTTGTACATACTTTTTGCATCGGCAGAGTCGATGCCTGAGGTGTGTCATCTTCCGCTAATGTCAGCCACAGAGAGACAGAGAGAGAAAGAGAGAAAGATAAAGAGAGATAACTCTTAATGTCATACTACTAATCCACTGTGATCTAACAGAAAAGGAATAGGGATGATTTAACTGTACTTGTCTGCGTCGGTAGAGGATGAAAACGACGAGGAGGAGGAGGATTGCAATGACTGTGACACTGCATATGAGCACTATCATCCACACAGTAATCTTGGGCTCTGTATACAACAGAAACAGACAGTCATCAAACAGTATACAGTACAGGAGAACACATCATGTAAAACCAAGTTTGTTCTTAAGAAGATTGTGGCCACAAGGTCATGCCCTTATCACATTTCCTGCTCCCCTCTCACTTCCTGCGCTCACCGATCTTCAGCGTTATCACAGCTGACGTAAGCCGTGTGCTGTTCCGCCACAGCTCACACCTCCACTTTCCGCCATCTCCCATACCCACTTCCGGGATGATGAGATGAGTGGGGTGATGGTCAGATTTCAGAGACGGCAGGGACGATTGTCCAGGTGGGAACCATTTCAGCTGCAGGTCAGAGGGCAGCGGACTGCCCAAATCACAAGTCAGGTTGACCTGTTGGCCTGAAATTAACTCTATTCCCGGGGAGGAGGTGACTGGAGAGAGAATGAACAGAAAGAAAGAAAAAAAATATTTATCTCAGTGAACATGAAATGCATGAAAAAAGTTTGTCTGATAAAATCTAGTGTTGTAAACTGAGAAAACCTCTCATTTTCTCTACATTTACTCTCTGATTCTGAGCCGATGGCTTCTGTTGCTGCAGTGTCCCAGAAACACTTGCCAAATATAAAATAAATAAATGCTTTAAAATAAGACTGAAAACATAGAATTGCATGATGGCATCAATATCAAATCTGCACTGCATTAACAACAAAATAATAAAAATAAAAATAAACAGCATTAGCCAGTGATACATGATATACTGTACCCTAAAGAAAATGAAAGCTGAAACAATAAATCAATCTGCAACTGTGATTAATTATTAACGTCATATCTAAGCTCTCCGCCTTCAATCCCTCAAATGTGAATACTTGCTAGTCTCATTAGACTTATATGATAATAAATTTAATATTTGCTGAGCAGGTCTCCTCACTATCATCCAACATCTTATGGACAAAACGATTTATCAATCAATCGAGAAAATAGCTGTCAGATTAATCGATAATGAAAACAATCATTAACTGTAGTCGTAAAGAAAGTTACACAGGCGCAATCCAGATATAAATAGATTTCATTTGATTTAGTTTTGTGATATGGGATTTCACAGGTTGATGGTTAACCTCTAGTTTAGTTTTGCGTACAATACTAAAATTGAAAGATAAGGTAAGAAATTAAAATTTAAAAGACAAACTTTTTGAACAACCTCAATCCCTGATGCCTAATACACTAAGGCCTGTCATATGATTACATCTAACTACAAACTTACGCCAACTAAACCCCACTATCTGTTATATCGCTACCTAACTATCAATAACCAGTATAAAACTGTGGTCTTAAACTTAAAAGGCAATGGTTATCAGTGGGTTTAACTTGTTAATTTCATCTAGCTGGCTTGAACACCAGTGAACAAACCAACCTTGAGTCACTATGAGGAAGCAGACAACCATTCACTCACAGCACTGTAATTAATAAATATTAATAGTACAAATATTTTAAATACATGCTAAATTAAATTTAGCTTGTTGGAAGATGGTGGTTATTCCAGGTTGGCAAAGTTGGAGACTGGGTTCAAAAGCATACCAGGGGTCCCAGATTTGCTAGATACACCCCTGCCTTGAACTAATCCATGAGATCAGTGAACTTTCTGTGTTCCTGGTTAAATAATAGTTCAGACAAAAAGGAGAAATCTTATTTTTACACCATGAATCCTCAGAACACAGAGTCCAATTAAAATACATTGTGTTATCACACTCGTCTGGCAGAGGGAGAGCTCATTATACTCTATTAAAACAAGTGGAACTAGACAAGTGTATTAGCCACTGAATTAGACACATGCCACACCAGGGACACTTGCAAATAAACGCTGCAGCAGAGAGATGAAAACCCTTACAACAGAGCAGAAGCAGAGAGGTGGGAAAGACACGACTGTCTCCAGCTTGTTATGAATGACAATTAGGAAGGAGCAAAGAAACTGGACATCAAAAAAATAAATGAGGACACTGCGATAGCTAAAGAACAAGGAAACATAATTTCATATGACAGATCTGAGTGCAACACAGAGCCAGCTCTTGTACAAAGCAATTTGTTTTGACTTACTTTGCAGCACATGTACTGTTACTGTCCTGTTCAGAGTTACACCATTTTTAAATTTGAGAGAGCATACATAGTCTCCACTGTCTCCATCTTTCCCTTGATTTCTCTTCAAAGACAGAATTCCATTTTGAAGTTTAGGGTCATAACGCAGTTCATTGTCTTGGTCTGGCGTCCACTTTAGCGGATCCAGAGAGAGGGAGAAGAGCATCTGTGGAGCATTAGATTTTAGACTCGCGCCTGGCTTAGCAAAGAATTCCCACTTTCCTCCCTCAATGTCCCTAGTTTTGATTGTGTCCCAGGTGGCGGTAGTGGAACAGGGGATGGTGAGAGGCGAGGATTTAGACGTATATTGAAGATGTGAAGGAGCTGTGGTGAGGTCTAAATGGAAAAGAGAAATATGGTAAACTTATCTTTAAGATGACAGTACACTACTTTAAAACAAACGCATACATGCACATAAACAGTAACTCACCCACAAGTGTGACAGAAATTTTGGCTTTGCTCTCTTTATTAGAATATGTCACCACACAGGTCCACTCTCCCTTGTCTTGGCCCGTGGCTTTCTGTTGAATTCTTTGGCTGTTTATTTTCTGTCCCTGGGGATTCAGCCAGTGTATCTTTGGATTTCTCCCTGCATTGCAGTTCAGAGACAGATCTTCCCCAGGCAGCAGAGGAGAGGGTGGGTCCATAGTCACTAGAACAGAAATGAAGCAGGGTAAAGAAAACAGAATGGAAATTGTAAAAAAATTGTTGTTATGTTTGATTTTTTTTCTTAATGTTGTAGATAGTTGATGGTTTTGTCTTTTATTTGGTAGTACATTTTCAAAAAGTAAACATAGTTTAAGAAATAGAAAAATAATAAAAGTAAAAACGTCCCAAAATGTGTAAGTAAGCAAATAGCCTTGTTTTATTTGCTTGACTACTGTGTCTTTTTTTATGACTTGTACCAGGGTGAGTACTGTGTGCGCTCTTACCACTGAGTTTGAGTATTTTATATGTGGTCGTGTCCACGGGTGTGTCACGATTCCCACTCGTATAAATTTGACAGGTAAAAGTCCCAAAGAGATTTTGTTGGATGTTTGTGATGACCAGCACTGAGCCGTCAGTCAAGGACAATGAATCTTTATCTGCAAGGAGACAATTAAATGTGTTACCATCAAAAGTACCCTTATCTGCCATTAAGACATTATATAATTAGATACACAATGGTACAAACATGTTATATCTGTGAATAGCTCACTGTACTGCTCACCATTGACCCCCTTTCCGGAAAAGGGATTACGCCAGGCAATTTGATTGCCATTGAACACCCAGTAGGAATAATGTGTTTGTGGATTAGTCACTGCTGGAGGATTCAGGGTAACCATCTGTCCCTCCTCAGCATATATCAGTTCTTCCCCTAAAAGAGTGAGAACGGTGTTATGTGTTGGTGCGCAAAACCAAACCAAACTGTAAATTATTCTATATCTGCAATCAGCGTGTCTCACCTGCTGCTGACATGACCACAGTGATGAGAATGAGGACGGATTGAATAAAGTTCTTCATCTCTGTTACATGTCTGAAAAACAGTAATTAGTTATAGAAAAATACATATTTATATAAATTCTGTATGATAATAATAAACACCAGAGGATTCAGTTTGAATTATTAGTTATTGACAAATTCAAACAAAATCAAAAGTAGTGATTGTTTTAATGTTGTAGAGATGTCTTTACTTTAACGTATGATTTTGTTTGTATTTCAAATTTTGCTGCAAAGAGAAATCATTCAGCAGGAAACAAAGAGGGGTTTGTGGTGGTCTCAGATTTGGAGAGATTTGAGAAGATAAAAGACAAAGAGTTGAGAGAGCTGAGAGTAGGCGGCCTGTGGTGGGTTTTGGATGAGAAGAAACAGACAAATGTTGGAGGGCAGAGACACAGAGCATACGCTGCGTTGTGGTGGGCCTTGATTTAGTTAAGGTGCAGATTCTTATCCCATTCCT